TTTTAATTAGTATTTAATCGGATTAGATTAGCATAAGACCCTAATCACCCCCCCTCTAGGGTCTAACAATTGGTATCAGAGCTTGGTGCTCTTTGATTTAAGGTCTAACCACCTTGAGTTAAAGATCCAAGTTATCTTATTTGTGCTAATCTAGTTATGATTACTTTTGTCTTGCTTGCATATTTTCATATATATATCATGAATATGAATATATTTCGTTTAGGCTATGAATCAAATATTGCTCCTAAATTCATTAATTTTTCCTATGCACAATAGGCTTCTAGATTTAAACTATTTGTTGAATCTAGAAATATCAACTTATGGGAAGTCATTGATTGTGCTTACAATGTGCCCACATTGGAGAAATCCAAGTGGAGCGATCATGATAACAAAATGTTTACTATGAACAAGCTTTTCATTTTGATAGTGTTTACAAACTTTGGAAATTTATTGAAGCACATCAATGGGACTTGGAGGCAATCCAACAAGCTTTGGAGAATTCTTCTTCAAGTTCATATGGAGCATCATGCACACGGCCACAAGAAGATAACTCTTGTGTAGTAAGCGATTCCGATTCCGATAATGATTTATCTATTGATGAACTCGCTAGTGCATATGAGAAATTATCGCATGCCTACTCCCATCAATGAACTCGCTTGTGCATATGATAGATTATCTCATGCCTATACAAAATTGCAAAACAATTTTATTGATCTTAAAAGCAAGCATGTAGAATTGAAATCCGATCATGAGAAGCTAGTGTCCAAATTTGACATCATTGAAAATGAAAATATAATGCTTAAAGAAAACAATGATATGTTAAATTTGAAAAATAAAAAATTGACCTCATCCATTTCTAGCTTAACTCATGTAAATGATGCCATGATAGAAGTAGAAACTATTAGAAATGAGTTTAATTCTTTTAGAAATGATAATGTTTTATCTACTTCTATTTCCTATACATGTATGCAAAATGTTGAGTTGAGTCAAGTTAAAACTCACATATCTTGTTTAGATTCAACCTTAAAAACATGTATGGTAAACCATGATAAGCTTATG